AATAATTAATTCAGGGGAATAATGGTGCATATTTCATATCATTATGATATGAAATCATAAGTCTCCTACAAGTCCCTTCATAGGCATAATAAACAATTGTTTCCACTGCAGTTGTGGAAGCCAGGGAAGTCTTGCATATAGCAGACTTGCAGCAGGTCTCTGATCTGCAGGGTCTGTTGGAACCTCTCTGCTTTTACCTGCCTGCTCTTCGCTGGGTGGTCAGGGCTCTACAGGAAAACCCCTGCGCTGTTAAAAATGGCAAGGGTTTATGATAATTTATGGTTGGAAGGAATCAGAAGTTGTAGTCAGAATGAAAATGTGTATAGTGTCCCTATGTAAAAAATGCATCAGAAGTTTAATACGGTTTGGACTGGATTTTGCTGTGGCAGGTACTGGTAAGCCACCGGGCATTCATTATCGCAGCTGATTCAGGCATATTTATCTTCCAAAATATGCCAATTATTATACCATGTAATCTTGGTCAGTGTGTGGTATATGGAATCTTTTGCTTTTTTTTGTTTGTTTGCTGTGGGTTTTTTTGTTTTAATTATTAACCACTGACAGCAGTTATAGGGATAGGATTTATAAAAGCAGTTGTCCATGCTGGGAACTTATATAGCAAGTGTATTTAATCCTTTTTCAGTTAAACCAGTCACAATGATCAGGTGAGCTGCACTGGTTGGTCTGGGCTCACTTCCTGGCTGTTCTGGTCACTGCCATGTTTTAGGATTAGCCCTGCGGGGTGGCATTGTGGCAAGAAAGTAGTATTATGTACAGAAATAAGAAGTTCACACCTTGTTGGCTTGCATTTACTATTTTTTCTTCTTAAATTCTGAAGTGTCTGATGCTGCTACCAGAGAATCACTAGTACTGTTCTGATCACTTTCTAGTTTTCCACTTTGTAGCTAGTTCCTAGTGTCTGCTGCTACCTGTTTAGTCCAGACCACTTGCACAGCAGCCCTGCAGAGAAGGACTTGGGAGGTGTTAGTGGATGGAAAACTGACAATGAACCAGCAACGTGTGCTCGCAGCCCAGAAAGCCAACCGGTGTCCTGGACTGCATCAAGAGAAGCATGACCAGCAGGTCAAGGGAGGTGATTTTCTCCCCCTGCTCTCATGAGACCCCACCTGGAGTACTGTGTTCAGCTCTGGGGCCCCCAACATAAGAAGGACATGGACCTGCCTGAGCAGGTCCAGAGGAGGCCATGAAGATGACCAGGGGGCACCTCCCTCATGAGGACAGGCTGAGAGAGTTGGGGTTGTTCAACCTAGAGAAGAGAAGTCTTGGGGGAGACCTTATAGTGGCCTGCCAGTACTTAAATGGGGCCTACAGGAAAGCTGGGGAGGGACTCCTTATCAGGGAGTATAGGGATAGGATGAGGGATAACAGTTTTAAACAGAGAGGGCAGATTTAGATGAGATGAAGAAATTCTTTCTTGTGAGGCTGGTGAGACACTGGCACAGGTTGCCCAGAGCAGCTGTGGCTGCCCCCTCCCTGGCAGTGTCCAAGGCCAGGCTGGACGGGGCTGGGAGCACCCTGGGCTGGGGGAAGGTGTCCCTGCCCATGGCAGGGGGGTGGAACTAGATGATCTTTAAGGTCCCTTCCAACCCAAACCATTCTACGATTCTATTATTGTACTAAATTTAGCCTGTTCAGTAGCTTTTCAGATTATTCCAAAAGAAAGGGAATTGATATCTCGAATTACAGTAATCTTTATAATACTTATTAAAAAAAAATACATTAGAATACTTATAAAAATATAGTATTGGATCGTATTATTGAATCAGAAGAAAAGATCAGGCAGTAGAATGTTGCAGAAATAACGTTCAATTTTAGACGGAATAACTTGTTAATTCCAGCATCTGCACATATATAGTCATCAGGGAGTTACTGGGCTATATATGTTTGGTTTTTTTAAAACATCTGTCGACTAAGTCAGAAATCTAAATGCAGAGTATAACATTGGTTATATTTGTGGGCTTCTTACGTTTCCTAGTAGAATTTCATTTTGTATGTTAATCATTTGAGAATATGGAGGTAAAAACAGGATTAAATCTGTGTGCATGTATTCTTTGGACAAATGACTTGCCCCATTCTCCTTTAATTGTATTACAGCGTCAAATATAAGCAAATATATGCAATGGAGTTGTGTTATTTTTGTCTTGGGTATCCTACTGTTGGTATGGAAAGAGGCATGTCATCTACATGCTTTTCTTTTGTTCCAGTAATGAAATAACAGGCTGTGGAGAGCCTTAAGCTACTCCGAACAGTTTTATGACATGTTATAGCTGATTCCTGCAGCCACGCTGCAAAGCTCATTTCATTGTCATATATTAAGTAGGCTACAATCCATTTGACAAAATGCTTCACTGCATAGCACTTCAGAGAATTGTGTTGTCTGTCCTTATAGTTCGGTGTTACTGTGTTCGCTGTTACCTGGTATATATAAAATATTGATGGGGAATAACCTGTGGGCTAAATAAGTGCAAGACTTTTAGCGGTTATCTGATATACGACATTAATATATTTCTAAGATACTTCTTTAGGCAACTTTACCACTGCACACTGTTGACCTATATTTGTGGTATTTGACATTTTTTGATAAACACCGTCAAGTATAATCCATCATGGAACAAGTTTTCAGCGGTTCAGGGTGTTTGTTAAACTCTCCTAACTCAAATATAGAAGTGTTTCAGAAAACAGTATTTTATGTTTGTGAGTAATAGGTTTTCCAAGTAAGAAACTTAGTAGAGAGTCCATTTCCAGAAGAATACAACTGTCTTCAGATAACAGAGTATGTGGTCCAGATGACACTGGGCTACACCTGCCTATTGGCTGAGGACCGTATGTTTCTGTAGGTTGCATCTTTAAATCCCTACCACTTCAGATTTGGAGTAGGGATTTTAATGGAAAAACAAAATGTAGAATAAGCTTAGCAGCATTTACAGTGTTTAAGGATTTGTATTGCTTTCAGATTGAGCAGTTTCTGAAGTAATGTAACCATTTAGACCCATCTGCTGATCTGTTATGTGCAAAGTCCCTCAAGACTCGTGTCCTTTTCTCTCCTGTTGTTCAACAGCCCTGTGAAGTCAAAGAGAATTGCTTTGTGTGGTTTGATATAGCTAAGAAGATAGTCAAGCGCTGAGGACATCGAAACAACCCAAGAACTGTAGCTTGACTTAAAAATCTCTGGGTACATGCTCTTGGTGATGGGGAAGCATTATGAATGAAGCAAGTTCACTGAAGTGCATTACCTGAGTAATGCTTAAAGCAGCTGTAGTTCATTCACACGTTTCATATAGTTAAATATGGAGATAAACTGTGGACCCTTCTGTTTAACATTCAATGTAAACTGAATTCATAATTAAGTCTCCTGCATGCCTCCAGCGTTTTTGTGTGTGCTATGCTGTCTCGGCTTCACTTGTGCTTCTTCAGATCTAGACTAATAGGAGAGCACATCGCAAGCTAGTGGGACTCTGCAGTTTGTGTCTGCTGTTGAACTTCAGGGTCTGCAGCAACCCTGAAAGCTGCCTTGTGGAGAAGGGCCTCAATCTGTTCCGTGTCATAGCCCATTGCTTTGTAGCTGTGGGCAAACAAGATGTTCTTGATGTTCAAGAATATCAGATGGCACAGAGACATCCAGCAGAGGACCTGTGGACGAATTCATGTGCCCATGGATAGGCAGGAGTTCACCCACCAGAATAATGATGGCAGGTTGCTGTACCATATCCTGAGATACTGGACCTAAGAGATGTCGTAGGGGAGTTGCTGGGATTTGGGTTTTGTTTGTTCTCATGAATGGTAGTTCTTGGTGATACTGCTTAAACTGAGCTAGTAGTTCACTTAAGAGGTAGCATATTCAGGGTTTTTTGGGGACTACTACTTTTCTAGGTTGAGTGAGAAATTCCTCTCGGCTGAAGAGTGTTGACACACGGTGATCCTAAATATAGTGGGAAGTACTGTCTTAGGAGAAGGAATGGAGGCAGCTCTGGTGTATGAAACCATATACGCAGTCTGAAAGAGTTACATGAGGACACTGCTGTTTGCAGAGCACAGGCTTGCTTCTACAATTAGGTCTGCTTTACACTATGAAGCCATTGTAGCCATTAAAGAACAGCATTGAAATACTATTTTTTTTTCCACTAATGCTTAATTTTCCAACTTGCTGCTTCTGTCCTCTCTGCTTTCCTGGAAGCAGTGGTGGTTTTGTACATGGCACGGACACAGATACAAGTGGGGAGTAGTTGTGATAAATTTGGACCACCATTTTGGCAGTGTTCTTGGCGTTTGGACAAGCACAAGGTATTTGAACCCTGTCCACTGATGGACGTATTTGTGTGCAACAGATTTTTTTTCATTGCATCCGATAAAAGTAATAGACCTCCAGGACAAAATTTGTCCATCCCATGTTTCTTATGCAAGGATGATTCTACACGATAATGCAAAATGTACGTATTGTTTGGAGATTACCCATGAATGGCATGGTGAATAGATTTAAAAGTAATAACATTTATTTATCGAGCCATTCCTTTTCTACCTTCTTGCCCTCTCTAGGCATTTTCTGGCTGTTACTCAATGTCTTCCTCATCCATCCCATGAATCCCTTTAATCTTCATCACTCACTGTTTTCCTGCACCTCTACATTTCCTTCTACAGTCTCCTCCTCCCCTTCCCTTGTTTTTGCTCCTGCTCTGGTCCCTTCTGTTCCTGTTTATTTTCCTTTCCACCTTACTCATTTCTCAACCAATTTTTTTTCTTTCAGTTCTCCACATCTATACCTGCTTTGGTTTCTTCTTTCATTTTACAAGGCGTTTCATCTGATCTCATATCTTATTTTCTCTGCTGATTGTTTGCCTTGCACTGCTCTCGGTCTGCTTAGTCTGTGTAGTGGACTAAGGTGTTAAAAGGTTTAAAGATAAAATGGCTTCACTCTTAATGGATCTTCATGTAGTGATTTCAATGTGTTCTTCTTTAATGAGGCATTTTTGTTATTATTTCAGGTCTTAAAAATTAGTTTGATTGGCCACAGGAAGCGTGTTCTGGCATCTTTGGGAGACAGGCTTCACGAAGATCCTCCTCAGAAACCACCTCGGTCAATAACCCTCAGGGTGAGTCCCCATGAAAATTTGTTTGCATTTCTCAAAAAGTCAGCAAGCATTTCATAACATTCACATGAAAACAGGAGCTGCTTCAAGCGGGGTTCAATCTACCTCACTTCAGAAGTTTACAGCGCAGACAGGCTGACCTGCTCAGTCGCACCTCCCTGTATAGCCAGCGGAGATAAACTGACATTTTTACAGCGTGATTCGTCTGACCTCTTTCAGATGTCTACCTTAAGATGAGATAAGTAGTATCTTAGAATTATCAGCTTATCTTCTTTACTAAAGAAACAAGCTCAGGACCAGGTGTGTACAAGCTGCACGTCTACATATGCCCACAGGAATCCCAGCCCAGCCAATCCATATTGCAGAAGGAGAGTTACCATTTTCCTTTCATGTTTTCAAATGCTTGCACTTACTTTTCAGACGTATGCTTTATGCTTTCTTTCAAGAGAGACTCAAGATACTTGAGATACAAATGCCATTAAGATGTTTCCGTGTATCAAAAGTTTAGTCGTGTTCTTAATTTTCATTCATATTCCATCTTTCAGAAACCTTGTTGCAATGTCCCTTGGGGTTTTTCCACACTTGACCAGATTTAATCTCTTGTTACACCACCTTCACTCAGTTTCTCCAATCTAATGCCTTTGCTTCTTTGCTGTCTGTTACCCTTATCGAGTTGTGGTCTGATGACCTGTTCCTACTGTGTTCTCTCCAAGGGAGTTCATATCAATACTTTTTATTTTGATATTTTGGGTCACACCTTTTGCATTTGATTGGATCTCATTATTTTCATGGGCCTGCGTTTCTGACTGGAATCTCATTTGGGACTAAATTTCCAAATGTCAGGGAGTGTCTGTGCTCACAAGTTAAATTTCCTAATGTAAAGAGAAATAGAGAAAGACAGAATGAGGGCTTATTTTTATATACACCAAAAATTTCTGTGACCAGCCTGTTTCATCCTACTTATTCTCAGATGCTACATATAGACATTTTAGATACCCCCCCAAATTCAACCTATTCCTAATGCCATGTTGAAAAAGGTCTCACAAGACTATAAAATCCTGCTCTAAGGCATATTGAACAAATGTATGGATATTTTTCTTGTATTTCATTTTTTATGTATTATGTGAATGATTCCTGATGCATGGCAGGTGTTAAAACACTCCCAGGAAAGAGGAATCATTTGCAAGTCTCATTTTTGCTCAATACTTTTAGTGCTTTGGACTGGGGAATTATTCCCTCTTCAGCAGGTGGGAAGTTTTCTGCAGCCCATGTTATTGGATAGGACTCTATATTCTCAGTTAATAGTGAAGAGAAAACTGAATGTCCTCCATCTGTAGTCGAAATGATAAAAAGTAGTGTGCCACTTTTAGCTTGAAAATTGTTTTAAATAAACTGCCGCTGCTACAAGATCAATTTATATAAAATCATAGAATGGAAGGGTCCTTAAGACCCTTGGTTGGAAGGGACCTTAAAGATAATCCAGTTCCAACCCCCGTGCCATGGTCAGGGACACCTTCCACTAGATCAGGGTGCTGTAGATCAGTAGAAAACATAGTTTGTTGTCTGAAGAGTCTACTTTTAAGGTCTCAGTGGTGAACTTACGCACGGCTAATGCTTTATCTTTTTTGACTCTTTTTGTATTAGCTTTTAAAATATTTCAAAGGAAAAAAATGGTTATATATTGAGGAAAAGCAAGAAACATTAAAAATATACACAAAGTATGCTATTCCCACAATAGCTGTGTACTAAGGAAAAGTTATTTTGACTTTGAAAGCTAGAAAATGTTGGATCTCAAGTTGCCTATGCAATCTTGCTTTCCTTCCTTGAGTGCATTATAATCTTTAATTACAGGACCAGTTGCCATGTTATCCATGAAACCCCAGCCTCATCTTGTCAGCACTGGAGGCTGGAATTTAAATTGAAGGAACAACAATTCAGGCTGAAAATTTGAAGAAGCAACGCTACAATAACAATGACAGCTTAATACAAGAAGTAATTCACTAGAGGGAATTCCTGGTTTCAGAAACTGGTTAGACAAACATCTGTGGGGTATGAGGTGTGCCTAGGCAGCCTGGGGAGGGATCTCCTAAGCTCCCTTCATGCCTTGACCTGCATGGTTCCAGCTTTGTGACCAGCAGGACTGAGATGTGGGGATGAAGCAGATTTCAGTAGTGAAATATATGATTAGGCATCCCTGCAGGGCATGTATCCATGCATTCACAACAGAGTGGAAACATGATATGAATACCTGGTGACTAACAGTAGCATGGTACTGAGGACATGATAGCACCTGCGTGGGCATCCATGCCTGGTGTGCAGGTTTGGTAAGGAGATGAGAAAGTGGGTATGGAGTGAGAAGGAGGAATGAAGAAAGAATGGGAGAGAGACTCATGATTAAAGGAATAGTTGTAGTCATGAAAATACAGATTCACACCTGCTTTTGCCCACAAAGCCCTTGGATACCGCTTGGTAAGTTATTTAGGTAATTGCCTCATAAACAGTCACTAATTATATGTTACCAACATTTTGCGTTATTTGACTGGAGTCTGGAGTCTGATTTATACAAGTGCTGAGCACACAGTGCTGGAAATTAGATCAATAGAAGTGGGGTTTTGAATACCAGCACTTGTAAAATCAGGCAATAGATATTGTAATTGGGCATCCAGAGTAGCTGGTATTTTTTAACCTTTGTCTGTGTGTCTCAGGTCCCCCACACTGAAGTGGTGATTATAAAATGCCAGAAGTCACAGGATGTTGTGAAAATAAATTGATTGACATTTGTAAAGCACTTATGAGCATCATGAAAATGACGATATTAGTCATCCTGTCTTCAGAGAAGGATTTGAATAGAGTTTAGGGAAGGGGCTTGGGGCCACAAAATGAGGTGAGAATGAAATACTGACTACACGATAACTAATGATAACACAGTGCTGAGTATATGACAACATGCTGCACAGTTGAGGATCCATCTGTGCTGTGAAGGACAACTTTGAGAAAATAGCATAAAATCATACAATCACATACTGTTCCATAATGCAGAGGCACCATAATTCTTTTATTTCTTGACTTTGTAATTCCTGTCTGTATTGCCTTGCCAGCAATCTTCCGATATAGATCTCAGTGAATTTCCTCTGTATATGCAGTTTGATAAAATATGAAAAGCTCGATGAGAGGTGGAATCTGTACACGGTCATCTGTCACTTTGATGTGCTGATGGCCATATCAGTCTACTAACAGTGGGTGAATTGTGATTCGGATCAGAGAAAGGTTGCATAACTGGCTGGAGGGGCAAGTAGCAGTCATTAGAAAGGATCTTGTTTGGTGCCCCTGTACTCAGGTTATTTTCAGGACAGAGGTGTCTGCACCATCTAGTCAGAATCGGGGTGGAATAGCTGCGGGTAGGCTTTAGACATTACGCCTTGCCAAACCTCCTGAGTGTGTGCAGATTACAGCTTTTCAGAAGCTTTTAACTGGGCCAAATGTAGGTGGATTTTTCTGAAGGAGGGAAAAAGACTATTCCTAAGAGGAAAACACTCCCTTCTTTGCCCTGGGGAACATCAAGTGCTTGTCTCGGATCATAGGAAAGCTAGAGAATTAAAAAAAAAAAAAAAAAAAAAAAAAAAATAAAATTCTCAGTCTATTATAATTTACCAAACAACTATGTATCCCTGATTTTAGTCAACCAACATGGAAAATGCTAACCCATTACTGTGATTTCAAGGAATAATGTCAAGTAGACTCCTACATTTCAAATATTAACAGACGTTACTATCACTTGAATGCATACACAGAATTGCAACTTTCTATTTGGAAGAGATTACAGTGCTCTGATTTTTTAGACCAGATCTTCTTTCTTAACAGCATGGAGTAAAGTACCTTGATGCTTTTCAGAATTAGGTTTGCTTCAATGTAATTGTGCATGAAATATCCACTTTAATTCTTACTTTAACTAAAAAGGTTTTTTTACCCTTCATGCACACTGGAGCAGGTCTTTGCTTCCTCTCATTGTGTAGTATCTTCAGGTCTGTTCTTGTTGTTCAGTATTGAAATATAGTGTTACAGCAGTAGGTAATTTAGACAAGGTTTGCACAGTGCGAAATAACTTATCCTTGGAGAAATCTCCAGTGTCAGAGAAATCGAGCCTAGTAAGCTACATCATACGAGAAGAACATGTTTCACCATGCAGTTGCAATGACTGTTTTCCAGTCCGCACGGGGTGGTATGTGCGCAGGCCGCCTGGCCAGTACACTCTAGTTCTGCTCCTGCTGGTTGCACTCTCCAAGACAGTGTTGAAGGGTGGATATGGGCAGCACCAGCGTTTGTAACTGGTGTTCGAACAAGTGGTGTGATGTGCCTGGGAATACGTGTTTCCAAACATACGTACAGTGGCTGGCTGTAAGCGAGCGGTGTGGTGTGTAAAATGTATGATCAGGAGGACATGTTTTGCTGTTTATTAGGTAGAGATCATGTATCAATTTGCTGTGATATTTGCACACTGACTGATACAAAGTCACAGTTCAGCCCAGATTACAAGAAAAGCCTGATAAAATATTTGTACTGTGATGCTTTCTCACATTCTAGGAATTGTTATTTAGTTTGTTCCTGATATTCAGTATTTCAAGTTAAACTGATGTTCTGCAAGACCTATAAAAATTGGAAACAAAGTCTATATTTTGTAAATGTTCATGCATTTCTTTTTTTCCAGCAAGAGATGTTGCTAGAGTTCAAATCACTTTCAAATCACTTTCACTGCTCAGAGTGGCTGCTCAGAAGTGGTGAGAACATATTTAATCTTACAAATAGCTAGTCTTAAATCATGGCTTTATTTAGACCTTGACAAGAAGTAACTCACTGTTTTATCTCTCCAGCGGTTCTAGAAGGGAGTATATATTACACAAGGAGGTCCTGGAGAGGGAATTTGCCGCTAGTTCATGTGAATAGTGAATTGTTTTTCCTTCCACATGGGCTCTGCACCTTAGGTAGCAAACCTCAAAAGTTCATCCATGGTAACCTCTACTTCAGGAATTGTTCCTTAATTTTTTTTTAGTATGAATAATTCAAATGCACTTTTCAATGTGTGGTTTGAAGTCAGCAATATGCTGCTGTTCTTATGCTGCATTTTTCTCCTCTGTCCAGGAACCCAGCGGTAACCACACTCCTCCTCAGTTGTCTCCATCACTTAGCCAAAGCACTTTCACTACTGGTGGCTCCCTGGACGTTCCCCACATTATCATGCAGGGTGATGCAAGGAGAAGAAGAAATGAAAACTATTTTGATGATATTCCCCGGTCAAAGCTGGAGAGGCAGATGGCACAGGTAGGATTAAAACGATGCCATTAAAAAGCTGCGCCTTGCTGCTATTGGTTACAGAACTAATCCTAACGATAGCTGTGGGTTATAGATGGAAGCTGAATTGTAAACTACAAAGACTGACAATTTTTCCAAGCTGTCTGTTCCAGTTCTCTAGATTTCAAATAGTGTAAGTTGGTGTGCAGTTTCTCCTGAGAGGTTGAGTTTTGGGGATGTTTACGTGCCTGGAGGCTGAGGTGCAGGTGCCCCCTGCACACTAGAACATGCAGACTCCCAACGACACTGACGCTGCCTCTTGTTTCTGCAAGAAGGTGCAGACTCTTCAGTTTCTGAGCAACCTAGATAAAAATAAGCTGACATCAGTTCACTGTCGGAAACTCAAAGGACTTGGGGTGTGGTGATTGCTGCATTTATTAATGGAGAAGGTCAGCATTCTGCTAAACTTTGTGATCTGGGGATATATCTTGCGTGTTTAAAAAAAAGATTTAACAGTGCAACAAATCATTTGAGCATCGCAACAGTGCTAGACTCAACTGGATGCTAAATCAAACTGTTCATGAAAGAAAGCCTAAAGGAGCCTCCATCTCTAAATTTTTTCACCCAACCACAATAAGAGTAGAGATAATTTTAAATCAGGCATATGCTGACCAGAGTGCTGTCTTGTACCACTCTAAAGAGCGGTAAAGTTAAGCTTAGACAGCCTGTCGGTGAAAATGCTTTAGTATGAACTCAGCTGTTTTTTGGTGGTGCGTAGGCTGAAAGACAGCCAGGCCTTAAGCCCTGCAGTGCTTTGCAGCGCGTGTTGGTAAGAGAGCTTTGATTTGTCGTCAGAAGCAAATGGGGAGCCAGGGCAGCTCCCGGAGCGACCCGCTCCCCGAAGGAGCAGGTTGCTGCATGCTGCCCTGCGTGAGGCTTCCCAGCGGTTCCCTGCCTGCCACAGCCCAAAATAGAGCCTCAACACAAAATTCAGCCTCAAAATGGAAACAGCCATGCAAATAACTGTGTTATGGTTAACATAATGAACAAAAGGCTGCAGTCTCTCAACTAATTGCATGAACAAGAAGTAGTAATTAAATAAACAAGCAAAACAAGGTGCTGCCGTTACCTGGGAACACAGAAACAAATTGAATTCAGAGGACATTTCTAGGGTAGTGAAATTGCATTTGGCTGGGTGGGACTGTTTCCTTGTAGAGAATTAAGGGAAAAGTTGCCTAGTGAATGAGCTTGTTTTCAAACCAAAGTCTACTGTGCTTTTGTGGCAAGAACAAGGTTGAGCTGAAGTCCAGCAAGGAAGAGCCCAGTTCTTAACATGAAAATATTTCTTTGAAGGTCATAAAGTTTAGATGTTTGAGCATGAAATTCACACCTGCTTGTGGCTGACTGGTTCATCTACTTAAACCATTTTATCACTTGATTCATAGATCCCTATTCTCACTTTTAGTCACTAACATGGAAGAAAAAAAATAAAAATAACAAGCGAAAACCCAAACAACCCAAAAAAACATACTAGCAGTTCTTCCTGTCTGCTTTTCACTCTTTCCTTTTCCTGTTTGGAGTTCTGATATTTCCAAGAGGTATGACACACTCTCATATATGGCACCTGGAGATTTTCTTCAGGCTGTTAAAAATTGCTTTTCCAGGAGGACTGTGATATGTCACATATCCAAAGAGAAAACTGAGCAGTTAGTACTTACACCACTCAAACCCACTAAAACCAATTAAGTGCTGGGATTTTTTTTTTTTGTGGGAGTGTGTACCCACTGAATGTACCCAGTGCCTTCTCTCTAACTTTCACTGTGTAATATAGCAGTCATCGTTTGGGACTCCAAAGGGGAAAATGGATTCAGGTGAAATCCATAAAAGAGTATTTTGTGTTAGTCCCTGAACTCCAATCTGTTTGGAGTCCTTCTCATCTCTGCCCCCAAATTCTGCACTCCTGATGTATGTAAAGTTCCCTTTGACGTTAATGGAAAAGTCAGTGACTCCCTCTGGTGATCATTCTCACTAAATTGGACTCACCCCATTAAGAGTCTAATCAGGGAATTCTTCAACCATTCTAGCCCAAAAATAGATTTTAAAATTCATTTTTTGCAGTATGTGTTCTGCTAAAATGAACTATACTTCCTTCAGTCTTTTCCCCCAAAGCCCCTCTGAAACTAAAGGTAAAATAATTGTTTCTGGAAAATAAAGGAGATCCAACAGTTTCTTACCATGAGCCTTCTGCTCTATGGGTTTTTATCTAGCCATTTCCTCCTTGCAGTTTGCACGTTCCTTTGGCTTATGTCAGATTAACAATTTCTGAGTACAACTTTCCAGCTAGAATACTTCTCACAAACAGAATAATCTAGAAGATTCATTAGAATTACTTTGAGGATATTGTTTGTCTTAACCCTTTCATTGCTAGGCTGTTTGCATGCTGCTATATGAATCTGCATGTTTACTGGATGCTGTAGTAGACAGATGTGCATAAAGACTTCTTTGATGCTGTGATTTTTTTGAAGGGGTTTCAGCTGTGTTTTTGACAATTAGATTAATGGGTATTTTCATGACCTCAAGGACAGAGGGCAATATGGTATTGAGAGCTTATTCATGGTATTGCTTTCATGAACTTGATTTTATTTCAGAAATGTTAGCATAAGATTATTTTTAGCCTCAATTTAAAATCTAAAATCTGAAGATATTTTGAGAAAATGGTGAGATCTGATGTTTCCATCTTTACTATGGCTTGTGTTTTCACTAAACTTTTACATGGGAGTCATCAAGCATGTTTATCTTGGCATCAAATATCAACCAGTGTTTGTTAAAACAATGAGCACCTCAGTTTGATTCTGTTTTCCTTTGATATGCTAAATGGGTTTATACAGTTCTCTAAACCATAATCAAATCTGTTTGTAAGTAATGCAACACTTTGTTTCCTGGAGGAAGCATGATTTAAATTTACTTAATGTGGGTGGTTTTGTCTCAAGGCCGGCATGTACCTTTATTCACAGTTCCCTAGAAGACTGTTTGCGACCTAAGAGGATAAAATCATAATATAAACAATGAGTCTAACCAATTTAGATTCCCCTCTGGAATAGGTTTGGTCATCCAGCTCTCCAGTTGATCATCCAACTTTGAAAGTCATTTGACGTCTGGTTGGATAAATCACAACTGCCAGAAAGGTAATACAGGAGGTCATGAGATGATTTGTTTTCAAAAAAAAAAAAAAAGAAAAAAAATATCCAGAAAGGATTGAGTAGTCTGAGTCATCTTTGACTGTGGATGTTGAATTCTGAGCCTGCAAGCTGTAGATTAATACGATCAAATTAACGTAGTTTAAAATAGCTGAGGTTGCTCTTAAGATTGTCTAAACCTTTAAAATAGAACTGAAATTATACAAGCAAAGCCTAAGGGCTTTGGAACCAAAATCGCTAGGAGGAGTCCCGTTGAAGGGATTGGGCTCTTCATTCACCCCTGAAATCATGGCAGGGAGGGAAATACATATTTGCGGGAAAGATCTTTGGAGGTTAAAAAGGAGGCATAGTGAAGTTCATTAAAATACACCAATTATAATGTTAGGTCTTTAGGATTTGTAGTTCTCCAGGCAGCAGAGAGGTTTCAGGTACTAGCTGCAAGTACATCCCTGACTGCCAGCCCCGAGGCTGTTTATTGCTCCAGCCAGTGACATACAGTGCTTTTAGCCACCAGGGTCCGTAAGGCCTCTCGCCGAGGTGTTTGGAGAGCTGCACCCTGCCCCGAGCCGGGAGCGAGGGCCGACAGCGTCCTCCCCGTGGCAAGGCGGTGGGGGGCGCGGGGAGTGCCGCTGCCCACGCCGCTCCTCGCAGAAGCAGAGCTGGTTCAGGCATCACCCCGATGCTGACGCACGCTCTCCCCACAGGGCTGCACCTGCAGAGCACCCCGCCATGGGAGAGGTCTGTCATTTCAGGAGGCGGTGGGCGGGCGCCTTGTAGGGCTTTGGGGAAAGCTCCAGGCTGTGTCTGCCTCTGGGAGAAAAAACTGGTAGTGAGTCAGAGTAAGCTTTCTGGTAGGATAAACCTAGTCATGGCCCATATGGGGGGCACCCCAGTGGGCTGTGATGGAAGGAAGAGAATCCTTTAAGATCTCAGAGAGTTGGTGAAATTATTCACAAAGGCTGGCAGCAGAAGTTCTTTCCCAGTGATCGTGAACCCAGACTTAATTTTGAAAGCTTTTCTGGGTTCTTTGGTCCCGTGGTCTGAGGGCTCTTGCTATTTTTTAATAATTTTTTTTTTTTTTTAAACACAAGATAACTTAAATGTAAGGTCATTGTAATGACTGGGTAGTAAGTTTGAAGTAAATCTACCCCAGTTGTTGGGATTCTGCCTTGTAACATTATATTGTGTGATACAATACTTAATTGAAGGATTAGGATTGATATGAAGGAAACAGCCATTTAAAATGGAGTAAGTACCAGAGATCCTTTATCTACAATAGAGGAAAAGTGTAACAGAAACAAGAGACAGAATTCATGAAGGCAGGTTTATAGGAAAATTGTGAAATAACTTTGCTGGTTTCTGAAATAATACATCAGCTCAATAATATCTTCCAAATACTTCACAGATACTAAAGGATTCGTATTTCCAGTGCACTGTGGGGCTATGTGGTTTAAAATCGTGTTTTTCATTTTACAGCTAAGAAAATTGAGGTATAGGGATGTTGCAGGTTGGCAAAGATGACACTGAAAATTTGAAGGAGCCAAAAATAAAACTCTTGTCTCATAACACCCACCTTTAGTTTTTTAACTTTTAACCACAGTATGACATTTCTTAATTTGCCTGTTTCCTGTTTGTTTTCCTGTCGTCATCTCTGGCTTGGAAGGATTAAATATTACGGTGAATGAAGGAAAATATGCCCAGGAGCATATTTGTGTGTAAGATGAGATTACCTAAGAAGCAATGAAGAATGGGTTTTATCAATGGTTGAAATTACTGGTGAAATAACAATTCTTTACTAGTAGATTTAAGAAGCAATAAATAGAAAAATATGGT